AGAAGACAGACAGATATTTACAGAAGAACAAGACACAGATAATATATTGAGACACAGGAACACACGCAAATAATTTCATTCACACCACAAGATAGACAATATCATGAGAGCCAGAAAGAAGACACAATTTCATTCAGAATAGAAGAGACAATATAGTGAGACCCACAAAGAAGACACGCAAATAATTTCATTCATAGCACAAGATAGACACAGATATTCACAGGAGAACAAGACAGACAGATATACAAAAGGATTCACACACACACACAGACCTTTTGCAGCACAGGAAAGATCAATATGAAGTGTGCTGGAAAGGCAGGTGCCAGGTCTTCTGGCAGGGGAGGGAGAGGGGGTAAGGAGAGAGCTAGAGCTGCAAGCCCCCCCGTCCCAAACACCGACACATTCTATTCCCAAGCAGCCATGTCATCAGTGCTGCCAGCAGAAGCCAGGCGATGGGAGCAGCGTCTGCACCTAACATCCCTGCACCTGCCTGCACCACCTCTGCTCAGTCCAGAAGTGGGCACCAGCAGTGGAATCACTGCCTCTTCCACCCCAATTTCAGCTCTCACTGTGAGCCTCCCTCTGCCAGAGGAGGAGCTGGAGCTGGAACCAGGGATGCTGAGTGCGCTGGCTCAGGCAATTCTGGGGACTGAGGGGGAATCAGAGTTTGTGCTCCACACCTCTCATGTTTCCCCTAGACCAAGGTCTCCTCCAGAAAGCGGCACCTCGGAGGAGGCTAAGGTTGTGGAGGCACATGGCTCAGCTGAGGCAGCTCCTCCTGCTGTTCAGCCTCAGCCTGCCGAGAAGGGGGAAAAGGCAGGATCCTCACCCTCAACCCAGAAGCGGGGGAGTAATGTAGTGTGGGATCATTTTGAGGTGGCAGATGATCCCAGGTTTGCCATCTGCAGCACTGCCAAAGGCACATGAGCCGTGGCAAGGACATGAGACACTTCTCCACCACGGCTATACTGCTGCATCTGAAAAGGCATCACCCCTTTGCCCTTCTTCCTGCTGCTCAGCCTAGCACCAGTGTGTGTGCACCAAAAGGGAAGTCCCCCACTCTCTACAAAGCCCCCTTACCCTCAAAGCAGAGGCAGGCCACCCTGGACCAGTTGGGGAAAGGTGGACAGAAAGGGGGGTGCATTCCCAAGGCATGCGAGATCACCCAGAGCATTGGGGAGATGCTTGCTCTGAATAGCCAGCCCTTCTCCCTAGTTGAGCGACCAGGGTTCAGGCAGTCCCTAGCACTTCTGGCCCCATTTTATAAAGTGCCCGCATGCACCACTTTTAGCAGGGCGGTGGTGCCCTCCCTGTATCAGGCATGCAGGGAGTACTTGAGGGAGGAGCTGTGCAAGGCAGGGCCCCAGGTAACCTTGCACTTCACCTCTGACATCTGGAGCAGCTGGGGTGGCGATGATACCAACTCTCCCTCATGGGGCACTGGTGTGATCAGTCAGGCTGTCAGTGCGCTCTACTGCAAGCCGAGGTGCTGGATGAGTCCCACATGGCAAGGGAGATCATGGGGGCCATGAACCGCATGTGCAGGGGTGGCTCATTGGGCAGGCCAAGCTCACCCGTAGGTTCATGGTCACCAACAACAGGGCTAATATGGTGAAGGCTCTCCGTAATGCCAACTTTGTTGGCATCTGCTGTGTGGCACACAGGCTGTACCTAATAGCGAGGGATGCCTTTGAGGGGGACAGGGCTGTCGGTGATGGCGCCACCACCAGTACTGCTACAAGCCAGCTGATTTTGAAATGCAGGAAGGGGGTGGGCTACTTCCACTGCAGCATCAAGGGGGGGAAAGATACTGTGGGACAAACAGGCAGAGATGAGTGTCCCATAGCACAAAATCATCCAGGATGCGGAGATTTGGTGGAACTCCACATACCTCATGGTGGAAAGGCTGGTGGAACAACAAAAGGCCATCCATGAGATAGCCTTGCTTGGGAAGATTGGGATCAGTGGCCTGCTTAACAAAACAGCATGGGATACCATCTCTCAGATCTTGGTGCTCCTCAAGCCATTCCGAGGCCACCAAGACCATCAATGCTGGCAATGTCCTCCTTAGCCAGGTAATCCCCATAGTGAGGGAACTTGAAAACCAAATGGAGAACTTCCAGAAGATCAATGTTCCTGGCTGAGGCAAACCGCTGTCACCAGAGGTGCAGGCACTGGTGAAATGGCTGAGGGAGGGCATCAAGAAATGGCTGTATCTGTTGCAGTCCAGTATGGTCCACATGCTGGTAGCCATGTGTGACTTGAGGGTGAAGGAGTGCATGTGCACCAGCAAAACCCTGGATCACTGGATGGAGGTGCTGGTGAACAGAGTCTGTGAGGTGAATGTGAGCCATGCATGGCTTCAATGCTGGGGTCCAAATGCACTAGACCCCAGCCTCGGGCAGGTAGCGCCAAGGCTTCAGTGGCTACCTATCTCACTGAGGAGGGGGAGCCACTGAAATGTGACCCCTTGGCCTACTGGGCAAGCCGCAGCCAGATGTGGCAGGATCTGCCTGGATCTGCCTGGAGGTATGGGATTGGAGCTATTGGGAAGAAGGAGGCCCCAGGTTCTGGGCATGACCACTAAAACTGCACCCTGCCAGGGTAGGGAGGCCTGGTGGGACTGCTGGCGGTGCAGCAGCCCCATAAATGCCAGGACCAATGTTCCCCTGGTGAAAGGCGGGGAGGAGGTCCCATAATCTCCAGCTAATGCACGCGTAAAGTCCTGGCTGGGGAACGCCCAGACCTGTCATGTCTTTGACAGGCCTGATGCTTGCTGGTTGCAGTGCAGTTGTGAGGTTTCTGGTGAGCTCAGCTTAGCTTCCTGGGATGCCAGCTTTAGGGTTGAAAACCCCTTTGTCAGGCTGAGGAAGTACCTGCAGTTGGTCCTGAATGGAAGGAATAGTAAAGAAGCCAGAGGCTCGCCCAGCCTGCAATGCAGGCAAGAAAGTCAGGCAGTGAAAATGGAAATGGAGGTGTTAGGGGCGGGGAGGGACAGACTGGGGGGGGGGGTAAGGGAGAAAGGGGGATGTAGCAGCGTAGGTAAAAGTGCAGAAGTGCCTGGGGTTTCAGATGTCTGGCAGGTCGCAGTGTGCCAGAACTCCACTGTGTATATTGAGTTCATGAGTTTCTGTACCTACCACCTAGGAAGCTGATGAAGCGCAGTTCATAGGCCCAGCTCTGAAAAGTGGTTTGCACTGTAATTTGTTCCCTCTCAGGATCAGGCCTAAGAGAGTGAGAGTGCCTGAGATCAGGGAGAGTGTTTTTTGGTGAGAAATGGGCCCCCACAGGTAGTTGGGTTTTGTTGTCTTTGATAGATTCTGGTGTGCAGTTTGTGGGGTACTGGACATAGTTGGCAGGTTTTGTGTTTTGAGCTGTAGGAAGTTGGCTTCAGTTCTGGTGATGAGGTTAGGTGCTTGTTCGAATGTACAAACCACTTTTCAGAGCTGGGCCTATGAACTGCACTTCATCAGCCTCCTAGGTAGTAGGTACAGAAACTCATGGACTCCGTATACACAGTGGAGTTCTGGCACACTGTGACCTGCCGGACATCTGACACCCCGGGCACCTCTGCACCTTTACCTGCATTGCTACATCCCCCTTTCCCCCCTACCCTTCACCCCAGCCTGTCCCTCCCCCCTGACACCTCCATTTCCATTTTCTCTGACTGGCTTTCTTGCCTGCATTGCGAGCCAGGCCAGCCTCTGGCTTCTTTACTATTCCTTTCATCCAGGACCAACTGCAGGTACTTCCTCAGCCTGACAAAGGGGTTTTCAACCCTAAAGCTTCCAAAGATACATTTTTGAGTACTCCTTTTTATTCATAGTACACATATAGACATAAAAACACAAGATAAGCCATCACACACCATGTATAATGTCATATGTCCAACACAACACACCATCTTTACTTCTTCCTGTCAATTCCTTTATAAAACAATAGCCTCTGTGACAGTTTAATTTGGGTACCTTTGATGCTGCTGCTGATGCTATGTGTTGAGCCAGCTAAGTTATTGTACCTGTTGTCACATAAAGCAGAGGACCGGGCATGAGGCTGTAGGGAAGGTGGAGGCCTCAGTGGGGCACACTGCCGTGTTGTGCAGAGGCCCCAGCATCAGGAAGGGTGCACCTTAATGCAAGCACAGTGTCACCCACCCACATCATGAGTTTTGCCTGTCAGCAGCTTGAGGTGCAGGGCCCCAAACAACAGACTCCACCAGCGAGACACACACAGCTGACAGGCAGGCTTTGTGGCCTGGCAGGGCCCAGCACTCACTCAGGACATGACAGGAGTTTTGCCTGTCAGCAGCTTGGGGTGCAGTCCCCCCCCAACCTCTGCACCAATCTTGAAACTTGGCAGGCTTTGTGGTCTCAGTAAGAGCTACTACCCCTGCAGTTTTGACCCCCCTGTGTTGTAACATATAGACATGACAGAAGTTTTGCTTTCAGGAATTTGGGGTGCAGTTCCCCCCAAACCCCTGCACTGATATTCTTGAAACATGGCAAGCTTTGTGGCCTCATCAGGGGCCACCTTTCCTGCAGTTTTCAGCCCCCTGTCTTGTAACACATGGACGTGACAGGAGCTTTGCTTTCAAGGATTTGGGGTACAGTTCCCCCTAAACCCCTAAATCTATCTTCTTGAAACTTGGCAGGCTTCATCCTCTTAGCAGAATCTACCATCCCTGCAAGTTTCATCCAAGTCATACGAAAAACAACAAGGTTATAGATCTTCCATTGATTCCCCATTATATTCTATGGACAGATCTCCGAGGCCAGATCGAGGCGGAAACCTGGTCCAGAGCTCCGGATTGGATCACAGCCATCCAAAGCAGCCAGATCCTAAGCCGGATCAGATCGCTGCCAACTTGCACAGCCGTAGTAGACATGCCCAACAACCATTAAACAAAGAGTATTTGTAACAACGATCACACACAGCACAATCCCTTTATGCTGAAGATTGAAAAAAAAGTTGCTAACTGGTAGCAAAAAGAAATCTCTTACCTGGAAAAGGTGAGGTCAAAACTGGTATCTTGATGGGCGACACAGTCAGCACGTGACAAGGTTGGATGCTGGTCGGTGATGGTCCCTGAGGTGCTTCTGAATCTACTGACACCATGGCAGCTGCTGCTGCTGCCGCTGCAGCAGCTAATGCAATTGTCTGATTACTGCCAACTTGTTTAAGGCTATTCTGGCAACCACCTGTGGAGGAGTTAAATATAGTTAGGTATTATTATTATTATTATTATTATTATTATTATTTTATCAGAAACAATTATTTGTTGGCAAGTTAAGACAGCTTGTATTCAAACAACATAATTTTCCCAGCCTTTATAATATGAGAAGGGATGAAAATATATCTCTTTCTGTTACTTGATGTGGTTCTCTACTGTCTGTACACCCAGTCATACAACTGAATTAGAGACTTTCAGGGTACTCGGAAGTCTCAAGTCAATACGTTATAGATGGTATGTCATTTTGTACAGTATTAAAGATACTTCATACAGTGTCTTGTCCAGATTCTAGTCCAACAAGTGAATGCAGATCCCTATAAGGCATGAGAATTACAAACCTATACTTCATAGCTACTGCCCCATACCTCTTCCGCCTTTGACATCCTGTTTTGTGCAGTTTTATAATAAAAAGAAAATGGACACACCTTTAAATATGTTGATACCGATAATGTGGAATGATTGGTACATACTAAACTAGTGCATGGTCAGAAAACAATGTTGGTATATATAATGCAACAATAATTATAGTTACTACAATTCAAGTGAAAAGCTTCTAACTTAAAAAACTAATGAAAGAAACTTCAAACATATTGTGGAATATGTTCTAAAGCAAAAGCATGTTCCATCCCTATGAAACTTTCTACTGACAGTTTAACTGACCATACTTGCAATGGTCATTTCCCCAGAGAAAAATAGCAGCGGCACACCTTGTGCTGGCCCCAGCAGCCCCAGCAACTTTATCTAGGGTCCTGGGGGCCTCTGAGAGCTGCAGCCATAGCAGGAAGCCTGGTCAGCAGCTGGAGTGTGGCTCCAGCCGACCATGCTCCAGTTTTGGGTGGTGCACGCTGCTGCCACATGCACCAACCCACTTTTTTCTGGCATGGTTTTCTTTGACTCTGGGATATCCTGGGATCAACATCTCCCCTCCACCCCCACTATTTAGTAGCAGCATGAGGAACACCTGTGTGTGTGGTGTGTGGTGCTGCAGATGGGTCTGCGGTGCCACATACTGCATGTCTGCATTCACCTGGACATGCCTGACACTTCAAAGAGGAATCCATAGCATCAAAAACATTCTGACCTGTTGTGGTTCTTCAGAGTTCTTTGCAAAACTGCCCTATTATTTGTCTGTATTCAAAAGCCAAGTGAAAACTAAGAGCTGGGGGTACCTTACACCTATTGAGGGGTGCCTCGAATATCGTACCCATCCACACAAAGTGCAGGAGGGAGGAACCAGGTAACTATAGGCCAATCAGCCTAATTCCCATCCTAGGGAAAGTCCTAGAAAAGTTCATCAAGGAGTCTATCTGCGATAAGCTTGCAGAAGGTAAGATTCTGAATGACAGCCAGCATGGCTTCGTCACAGGCAGGGCTCGTCTTACCAACCTCATCTCTTTCTATGACCAGGTAACTCACCACCTGGACATGAGAGAGCAGGTTGACATTGTATACCTTGACTTCCAAAAGGCCGTTAACCTAGTCTCCCATGATGTCCTCGCAAGAAAATAGAAGGTTGTGGGATAGCTCCAAGACAGTCAGGTGGGTGAGAAACTGGCTGCAGGATAGGACCCAGAGAGTCCTGGTGAATGGATCTGTCATCCTGATGAGAAGTGGGCAGCGGTGTCCTGCAGGGGGCTGCACCTGATGATCTTCCAAGGTCCCTTCTGGCCTTACAATCTATGAATTCATGTGTCTAAAAAGACTGAAGAACCACTGATCTACGTATTCTGCTATTTTTATTACTGAGCAATAAGGTCAGTATTATTTCTCCCTTTCACATACCAGATAATCAAGAAGTTGTGCAAGGCATGACAGTGATTAGAACCACATACCTACTATGGCAAGTCTCATCTGTACTCAGTCACAATTTCAACACAAATGTGCTAAATTTGCGTGCTTGGCTAAGATGTCTGTAGCCATTAGTCTACAACACCTTGCAGAGTTTGGAAAGGGACCCTGACTCCAGTTTTTGCTAACTTTTTAGTGCTCAACTTTAAAACCTGAGTGTATTTTTTAAAATTTAAAAGAAAAAATAAAGAAAATAAAATGGTTTGTTTAATGTTATTTGTCACTATAGGACTACTCTCCCGCATGAAATTGGCATCAGTTTCAAAATGCTATTAGAAACCGTAGTCCTAAAAGCACTCTATGCAGAGAACTGCCATTGATTTAAAGAGGACTTCCACAGAGGGAGGTTGGGTGCGCCTACATTACATTTACCTTCAACTGAAATAAGCTTAGGGGAAGACCTTTAGAGCTCAATCACGGCTAAGTATGTTAAATAAACAAGAAAATGAGTAGTAAAAATCTTAAAAAGAAAACCTAATTTGACAAACACCAGCTGTTATGCTCTCTACACTGAGCGATGCATTAAAAAATTAAGCAATCATTAGCTTATTATGTCGTTTAGCAAATGTTTTCAGTTCATGTGGAAATCCTTCAGGCAATAAGAACCAACTGCTAATTCTGCAAAAAATCACTATTTGATCAGAGCCGTCACTTTAGGCAATTCATAGGTTTGCAATATTTCTTCTAACAAATGTACTTGGTTCCTACTTTTGTAGAGAAACACTTAGAGGGAGATCATTGTCCCTGGTACGGTCATTTCACTATCAAAAATAACTTGTAAACCTGAAAAATATAATTATTGGAAGATTCTTCTGACACAGGGCCTGTCTAAAAGCTAAATTATTCAGCAACTTGGTGTCCTGGTGACTTCCATTTAGATGGGAGTGGTCAAGTTTGGGGGAGATTTGAACCCTCTGAGGCAATGCTATATCTACTGGAAAACTGTAAAAAACTGGGGAGACAGCAATACCCATGCTTTAAAAGTTATCCCCCTTACAACCATTCAATTATTAAAAGAAAGGCTGCAAGTGTTTATTTTCAGAAGATGAATTCAGCTTGCAGATCCTTGGTGGAAGGAAGTACCCCCTTGCCTCCCTGAATGAATCATCTAGTCCTTGGAGAGGGCTGGAAGTGAAAATACACCCTGATCCACAAAATTTCTGTATGAGCCAGGTCAAGGCAGTTCTGTATAGAATATGTGGACCTTAAGTAGATCTCTGTTAAGTCTATTGGATGTTTTAGATCTCCTTCTCCTCTCACCTAAAGTATATATGGTGTTCAGATGCTTTGTCAGGCTTCTAGATTTCACTCTGAGGTCCTGCTTCTGAAAAGTTATACAAAGCAATGCTCAGCTTTATACATAGCAATGCTTAGTGATGCAGCACCTTACCTTTTTTTGTGTGGGGCGGGGGGGGGGGGGGGGGCCACAG